AGGGGCCGTCCCCAAACTCCTCCCACAAAGTTGGGAGCATGAAATTGTCCAAAATGTCTTGGTATGCTGATACCTTAAGAGTTCCCTTCACTGGAACTAAGGGGCGGAGCCCAACCCCTGAAAAACAACCCCACACCATAATCCCCCCTCCCCCAAACGTTACACTTGGCACAATGCAGTCAAGTACCGTTCTCCTGGCAACCGCCAAACCCAGACACGCCCATCGGATTGCCAGACAGAGAAGTGTGATTGGTCACTCCAGAGAACACGCCTCCACTTCTCTAGAGTCCAGTGGCGGCGTGCGTTACACCACGGCATCCTACGCTTTGGTGATGTGCGGCTTGGATGCAGCTGCTCGGCCATGGAAACCCATTCCATGAAGCTCTCTACGCACTGTTGTTGTGCCAATCTGAAGGCCGCATGGAGTTTGGAGGTCTGTAGCTATTGTCTCTGCAGACAGTTGGCGACTTCTGCGCACTGTGCGCTTCAGCATGCGCTGACCCCGTTCTGTCATCTTACGTGGCCTACCACTTCCTGGCTGAGTTGCTGTTGTTCCCGGTTGCTTCCACTTTGTTATAATCCCAGTAACAGGCGACCGCGGAATATTTAGTAGCCGGGAAATGTCACGGAACACCTGAATCCAATGATTTGGAGGGGGAGGGGCCCAATACTTTTGGCAATATCGTGTATTTCAGGAGTACCAGTAGCGATCAAGCTTTGCTTACCTGTTTGGTCAATGTTACCCCAATAGCAGCCAGTCCCCATGGACATTAAATAGTCACCTGATCCAAACAAAAAAAGTATGTGTATAGCCACAAAGGAAAAACTTAGTTAGAAGATCCTAATGAATTCAGCCACCACTACCTTCTGTGGAGTGGCTACTAGAAATGTAGTGGTTGCCAGAGCTGTAGTCAGTCTTGCTGAATTATAGTCGGCATTTATCTGGTTAATTCCAGTTGTTCTGACATTGATTGTACCTGCCTGAGTGGGGTGTGACCCTGCTGCAGTGTGGGGCAGCCAATCGGGAACATTACGAGTGTGTGTGTGGCTCACCAGCCAATCACTGGTGGTTTCATGGCCAGTGGTGCATGCTGGAGAAGTGCATATAGCTTAGGGTGACGGGAGGACGCTAGTTTATGTCCTCCCGTCACCCTGAGGAGAACTATGCGGAAAAACACTGACCCCATAGTTCTCCTTTAACTTGCTGAAGGGTCGTGTTGTTTTATATATTCGGAGATGAAATTGTCACTTTTTTTATTTTTTGTCTCAGATAAACTTCCACCCAGAAACCTGACCATCAATGAAACAAAGACGGGGGAGACTTTCATTGTGACTTGGAAGAATCCCGCCTCGGAAAAAGAGAAGCCTTTTAAATACAACTACGAACTCTGCTACTGGAAGGAGAGCGAGCTGAAACTACAGAAGGTTCGTTTCACCAAAAACCCCCCAAACATTTCATTTATTGCATGCCTAGAGACACAGAAGCGGAATGTTCAGCTTTCCGCTCTCAAGATTAATTAAATGGAATTTTCAGAAAAGAAAAAAAAAATAATCTGCATTTATTATTATTTTTTTACATAGGAGCCAGTAAAGCGTTGCGACCGCGATCAGCGGATGGCGGGTGCAATGCTCTGGCTCCTGCAGACTCTCCCTCCTGTCCATGTCTGTACCGAGGTACAGCAGCAAAAGGTTTCCCAGCACACTTACCGGCTAGCAGCAAACAAAATACCCCGTCTGAGTATTAGGGCTAAAAACGGAGGTTTTAGTTGCACAACTTTTGCAAAATATGTGAGAGCCAAATTGCCCCGTCAAGGCCCCTCTGTGTAGTGCGGTCCTAACTCTAATCTATGAGCGCCGCCATCTTGGAGCATATATAGCAAAGGATGAATTGGGTGCAGGTTCGCCAGGAGAGACAGGGACACACCAGATACCGTTCCTGCTGTACTTTTCTATGTCCCGGAGAGCACCGTTCCCGCTGTACTTTTCTATGTGCCGGAGAGTTCCGTTCCCGCTGTACTTTTCTATGTGCCTGAGAGTACCGTTCCCGCTGTACTTTTCTATGTGCCGGAGAGTTCCGTTCCCGCTGTACTTTTCTATGTGCCGGAGAGTACCGTTCCCGCTGTACCTGTCTATGTGCCTGAGAGTTCCGTTCCCGTTGTACTTTTCTATGTGCCGCAGAGTACCGTTCCCGCTGTACTTTTCCATGTGCCGCAGAGTACCGTTCCCGCTGTACCTGTCTATGTGCCGGGGAGTTCCGTTCCCGCTGTACTTTTCTATGTGCCGCAGAGTACCGTTCCCGCTGTACTTTTCTATGTGCCGGAGAGGACCGTTCCCGCTGTACTTTTCTATGTGCCGGAGAGTTCCGTTCCCGCTGTACTTTTCTATGTGCCGGAGAGTACCGTTCCCGCTGTACTTTTCTATGTACCGGAGAGCACCGTTCCCGCTGTACCTGTCTATGTGCCTGAGAGTACCGTTCCCGTTGTACTCTTCTATGTGCCGCAGAGTACCGTTCCCGCTGTACTTTTCCATGTGCCGGAGAGTACTGTTCCCGCTGTACTTTTCTACATGCCGGAGAGTACCGTTCCCGCTGTACTTTTCCATGTGCCGGAGAGTACCGTTCCAGCCCGCCCCCGAATATGAGAGGTGCTGATGTCATAGATTGCAGCGCTAGTGTTTTTTTCCCCCACCCCCACCCCCACCCTATTTGCAGAGTACCGTTCCCGCTGTACTTTTCTATATGCCGGAGAGTTCCGTTCCCGCTGTACTTTTCTATGTGCCGGAGAGTACCGTTCCCGCTGTACCTGTCTATGTGCCTGAGAGTACCGTTCCCACTGTACTTTTCTATGTGCCGGAGAGGACCGTTCCCGCTGTACTTTTCTATGTGCCGGAGAGTTCCGTTCCCGCTGTACTTTTCTATGTGCCGGAGAGGACCGTTCCCGCTGTACTTTTCTATGTGCCGGAGAGTTCCGTTCCCGCTGTACTTTTCTATGTGCCGGAGAGTACCGTTCCCGCTGTACTTTTCTATGTACCGGAGAGCACCGTTCCCGCTGTACCTGTCTATGTGCCTGAGAGTACCGTTCCCGTTGTACTCTTCTATGTGCCGCAGAGTACCGTTCCCGCTGTACTTTTCCATGTGCCGGAGAGTACCGTTCCCGCTGTACTTTTCCATGTGCCGGAGAGTACTGTTCCCGCTGTACTTTTCTACATGCCGGAGAGTACCGTTCCCGCTGTACTTTTCCATGTGCCGGAGAGTACCGTTCCCGCTGTACTTTTCCATGTGCCGGAGAGTACCGTTCCAGCCCGCCCCCGAATATGAGAGGTGCTGATGTCATAGATTGCAGCGCTAGTGTTTTTTTCCCCCACCCCCACCCCCACCCTATTCACAGAACGCCATGCATGCAAAGCTCTCATTTTAGGATTTCAATGGCATAATGATATTTTTTTTCACTAACAGGTCCCTGACATTTGTCCAGCTGACCCAATCAAGATGGATTCATACCACGACCCCAGTGTAATATTGCAGCTTAACAACCAGCTGAAGCCGAACAGTAATTACTCATTGATGATCCGAGTACTTTTGAAAGAACCCGTTGACACTCATTGTTACCACGGGCCGTGGAGCGAGTGGAGCGAAGTGCAAACCTTGACCACCAAAGCAGGTACCAGCAATCGCATTACGGTTATGGGAATTGCCCAGCTTGATCAAATTTTTGAGCCCGTTCACCCTACTGGGACTTGTAGGCGCATGCGCAATTATGCCGCGCATTACATGAAGGCAGCCTACTGATTTGCAACAAGGCGTGTAACCGGCATTGCTGCGCACATTACCGCATAGCAATAGTGTTAATGGGCCCTTATATGAGGCTAGCTGCCGGGTGTGAATGCCGATAAGGATGATTATATCTGTTTGGCGAAGCGTATAATGTGTTTCCTGTGTGTTTGCTGAATAATGTGTTTACAATAATGGTGAGAAGATGAAGAGATTGTGCAGCAGGCTCTCCATGAACGATCATTAGCAACAAGAATGTCAATGTTTCTAAGTTATGTAATGTATATTTGTTGTGTTCAGGTGAGGTTTAGGTTTACCCTGCCAGGAATTGTATGAGGTGACTGTCGCAGTTCAGCTGCAGATGTTACTTGTAGTTCTACAAGTACATACAGACCTCTTACCCCTGGTTCTGCAGGCATGCAGGGTTGTGCTGGTGCTTGTAGTCCTCCAGGCGCGTGGTCTGAACCTGACTAGCTCTTGCACCAGTCTGGCAGCTTTAGGCCTCGGTCGACCTCTCCTGCTGTTTATTATGCAGCTTCTCGGCCAATCAATGCAGTCCGCGTGTGGCCAATCCTGTGGATCAAGCAAAACAAATGACAAACGCACTCAACAATTTGTCACCAACTATACAGTAAGGTGCACACGAAATGGGCTTTAAACAGTAAACAGTAGAAAGGTATCATGGCACACTTGTCTCACCACTAAGGTTAATAACAGAGGTTTGGATACACGTCTTCTGCAGAAAATGTGAAAGCCGCACAGCCGCGCCAAGGCACCTCTTATAGTGCGGTATATAAGAGGTGCCTTGGCGCGGCTGTGCGGCTTTCACATTTTCTGCAGAAGACGTGTATCCAAACCTCTGTTATTAACCTTAGTGGTGAGACAAGTTGTTTTACATGCTGGTTTGTGAGTGTGCCATGATGCCTTTCTGCTGTTTGCAATCCTGTGGATCCCTCCCTCTTCCTGTCTCTATTTAAACCCAGGGCAGCGAACGGCACGCTGCCAGAGCAACGCTTCCCTAATATTCCCATGTGTGCGGGTGAGCGTACTCGTGCGCTGACAGGATGGATCCTGTCTGCATCCGAGCCAGGACACCCGCACCCGTACGGACCTGCGCTAGGGTGACGTACGGGCGCGTACTCCCATAGAGAAGGACGGGGGCTGCGTACTAATCACACGCAACACCTGTCCTTCCCGGGAGCTGCCTGATACGGAGCTGTAGGTGCCGGCTTTTTCTCGTGTGAATGAGGCCTATTAGTTACACCCCTGCTGCTAATGATAATGTAGAGTGGGTATCCCCCAGTATTTTCCCTGAACAAACGGGCTAAATGTAGATTTTCAATGCAATAGGCAATTTGTAGGCCCAATACAAGGTCAGGGACGTCACACACATTGAGATAATACTTATTCCTAATGCCTGGCGAAGTACTGGTCCGGTGATCAGTCCTTTTCCATGGCTCTGGACGTGTGGAAGGTCAGATTTATTGATATGTTGGTAGTAATACTTTGTTGTTATGTTTCAGATTTAGTTTGTTTTTTTTTTTACAGTTGCCAATCCCATTCTGCTCTACGCCCTGATTCCCATAGGTGTCATTGTACTTGTAATGTTCGCTTTCTGTGGATACAGAGCTCTGGTACGGTGAGTGTAACCTATACGTATTCATATACACGTCGGAACGAAACAAATTGTAGAAATGCTGCTCAGGATTCAGCAGTGTACCCACATCTAAAGGGAAAAAGGTCACTTCCTAGAAGACAGTCAAGTACGCATCTGTCAGGGTACCGTGCGGAGGTGTCCTCAGACCGCATGCAGGTACCCACGCAGGAGGACCAAATTAGTATGACCGCACTGGACGAGGTCAATGGGTTGTATGCAAATTATTGTAAACAGCAAGCAAAACACAACAACCCCACCAACAGCCACAAGCAAAGAACACAAATTAGTAAAGTAACCAACTAAATAAAACCACAAACACATACAAAAGATAACATAAGCACTGGCGGAACTACCAGGGTCGCATCATTTACTGCCACCCATCATTTACTGCCACCCATCATTCACTGCCACCCATCATTCACTGCCACCCATCATTCACTGCCACCCATCATTTACTGCCACCCATCATTTACTGCCATGGACGGCATATCATTAACGGTCACAATTATTCATTACAAAAAAATACTTTGTAAATAAATGGCGGTTTCCTCGGTAATCCCGTCCGTACATAAACACAGATACCGGGTCAGTGTTCTCGACGGAACACCGGCACTAAAATTTTAAACAAGCAGCTGCCTGAGGTCCCACGCTTGCTGGGGACCTCGGCAGCCTTCCTGTTAACCACACGGTGCCATGGGGTTGGGGGGGGGGGCCCTTCATGGTTTCTTGCACCGGGGCCCTGAAGGTTCTAGTTACGCCTCTGAACATAAGTATCCAAACCAGGAGCAAATAGATGAATGCACACCCAGGGTATACAAGCCAGGTACACCTGGGGAGCCGGGCGAGACCAGGGGAGCTGGGACACACCAGGGGAGCTAAGGGACAAAGTGTCAAGGTACAGCCAGGTAACAGGACTCAGGAACATAAGCAGGGAACAGGACTCAGGGACATAAGCAGGGAACAGGACTCAGGGACATAAGCAGGGAACAGGACTCAGGACTGCAAGCAGGTAACAGGACTCAGGACTGCAAGCAGGTAACAGGACTCAGGACTGCAAGCAGGGAACAGGACTCAGGACTGCAAGCAGGTAACAGGACTCAGGACTGCGGACTCCCACAGCAGGGGAGCTAAGGGACAAAGGTCAAGGTACAGGCAGGTAATAGGACTTGGGACTCAGGGCTTACTCAGGAAATGGCGACACGCTCAGGACACAGGACTCAGTCAGGGAAAGGCGGCAGGATACTGAGCCACAGTCCTGACTGCGGGGAGGGATTATATATCAGGTGGTGGATAATCGCTGGCTGCCTGGGAGACACCCGCAGGTGAGCAGCTGTGGTCAGGTGCAAGGCTTGAGCCAATTAGAGCTTCACAAGGCGCAGTGCGGTGCTCGCCGAACACACGAACTGCCGATGTTCGATCCGAACTCATGCTCGAGCCCATCACTAATCATAATCGCATCGCGAGGACTTTGTTTAGATAGACATGGCAGCATTCCAAATCCTTTATTTGAAAGGCGTTAGAGATGGAGCTCTTCAATCGCTGCCTGCTCACTGAACCCTACGGGCAGCACATCCGGCATGTACTTGCTTGTTACCGGATGGAGGCCATTGCCGGTGAACGAGATACTCTGCTCATTGGTGCACAGGACGCGGGTTGGAATTTTGTACAAGAAGAGGAAAGACATCATTGGTGAAAGCCTAGCCTCAAATAGAGCTTTTGCCGAGTTAACCGACACATACTGACCCTGCTACAGCTGGTCTGGGCTTCTAGGTACCAATGAGCTCTGGGTATGACGTGCCGTCCCTTCTGTGCTCGGTGAGGCATCTCCCAGCCCACCGAAGCTCCGCCCCATCCCGCCAAAAAGATAATAAAGTCACCGGCACTCCAAATGATCAAGTCAATGAGTTTATTGACCGAAGTGATAACACCTCCAGCAACGTTTCGGGAGCATGCGGCCCCTTCCTCGGGCAAACAGAGAGGGCCCCTTCCTGCCAAAGCTCCACCCCCCAGCTCGGTAACCAAGTTGTGTGGGGAGGAGACAGGGAGGAGCCTCCCTGTCCCTCACCCGCTCGTCACTATGGAGTCATTGAGATCGATGTCCTCACTGTTTTGTTTTTTTCTTCTTCTTTTTTTTGATTGGACAGCTTGCACCAAAGGGGGTTTGCTATTGGTCCAAGCCATCCACAAAGCTCTGGCCTCTAACACGGAGTAGAGGCTGTGACAGTTCTTGCCTCACCAAGTTAGGTTACACAAGCCGTGGGGAAGCCGGCTGCTGTGCAACCTCACTACCTGTCAAAAGCCGGATGCAGCGCTGCTTGTAATTAACAGACAGAGTAAGTTACACCGGGGGTGGGGGAATTCCCCGGTATGTAACCTGTAACAAGCCGATCTGAATGGAGAAAAAGCTGGCATAACTCTAGGTGAGGCTCGGCCTCTCCCTGACCGCACGTCCCTGGTATGAAAGGGTTCAGTAACAACATTTGGTGTTGTCAGCTGCAGAAAGTTTGCAATTTGCTGGTGGAAAATGGGTGTAAATGGGGGTTTTAATTTCTTAATTCATTTTGTATTTCAGGTACACAAAGCACTGGAATGAAAGGATTCCCAATCCAAACAAGAGCGCCATCATTAAAGGCTTACAGAAGACAAAGGCAAGCATTGCACTCGGGGTGTCCGTATAAGCGCGCGGCCTGCTGTAAAATAATTTGTTGGTTGATCATTAATTATGAATATTATTTAACTCTTGGGGGGGGGGGGGGGGGGGGGCCCACATGGATTCTTGCATGGGGCCCTGAGGTCACTAGTTACGCCACTGATTGCACTGCAACAATGTGAATCTGGCCTTACTCCAAGAAGCACACCACCATCAGATGGATTGTAGGGACCAATCAGTTCCTAGATTTAGAGTCATTCTCTGGGTTTCTGCCGAGTGGAGTTGCTTTGGCCAATCTGCACAGATTGTAAATGGCAGCCGGAGAGTCGGGCGTCACTGTAATTGACGTTCACAATAGTTGAGTCTGTCACATTGCACTCTCCCGCACCCCACCATCCATCCTATAGAGGTTATGGAGCAAACATTACACTGAACTTGGCCATGAACCCTCATGGAATACATGGAAGCATGCAATTAGATGTAAGCCCCATCACTTAAGTCTCATTATAAGCTTTATATAGTGACACCGGTGTAACTATTATACTGGCCAAAGAAACGTACCGGCAATATAAGGTTGTAAATACCGATGTCTCCAGCTGGCCAGGCCACAGAATGCCGCGCTTTTGATCAAGGATTGTGCCCCTTAAAATAGAACTATGGGGTCAGTGTTTTCCCCCATAGTTCTCTTAAGGGTCACAGGAGGACATATACTAGCGTCCTCCCGTCACCCAAAGCTCAGTATACCACAAACTACAGTTGGGGCAGAGATTAGGGGTGCATACCAGCAATCAGAGTTACAGTGATGTCATCAGAGGCAGACGACAGTTGGCCCAGAGATTAGAGGTGCATACCAGCAATCAGAGTTACAGTGATGTCATCAGAGGCAGACGACAGTTGGGGCAGAGATTAGGGGTGCATACCAGCAATCAGAGTTGCAGTGATGTCATCAGAGGCAGACGGCAGTTGGGGCAGAAATTAGGGGTGCATACCAGCAATCAGAGTTGCAGTGATGTCATTATAGACAGACGGCAGTTGGGGCAGAGATTAGGGGTGCATACCAGCAATCAGAGTTGCAGTGATGTCATTATAGACAGACGGCAGTTGGGGCAGAGATTAGGGGTGCATACCAGCAATCAGAGTTGCAGTGATGTCATTATAGGCAGACGACAGTTGGGGCAGAGATTAGGGGTGCATACCAGAAATCAGAGTTACAGTGATGTCATCAGAGGCAGACGACAGTTGGCCCAGAGATTAGAGGTGCATACCAGCAATCAGAGTTACAGTGATGTCATCAGAGGCAGACGACAGTTGGGGCAGAGATTAGGGGTGCATACCAGCAATCAGAGTTACAGTGATGTCATTATAGACAGACGGCAGTTGGCCCAGAGATTAGGGGTGCATACCAGCAATCAGAGTTGCAGTTATGTCATCAGAGGCAGACGGCAGTTGGGGCAGAAATTAGGGGTGCATACCAGCAATCAGAGTTGCAGTGATGTCATCAGAGGCAGACGGCAGTTGGGGCAGAGATTAGGGGTGCATACCAGCAATCAGAGTTGCAGTGATGTCGGCGGAGAGGCGAATGTTTTCATTAGCGATCAAAATAATTTCAATTGATCAAAAAGTTTAACGATTAATCGAGAAATGAATCTTTAATGTCCACAGCCCTAATATATATATCTATAGGGCTTCATGTATAACAGTCCTGACCAGCGTATAGCCAGGCGGATGCTGCATGCACAGCAATAGCGTCTCTAGATTGGTGTTGACGAGTATAGGAAAGTGCCATCTAGAGGCGCTGGTGCCATGACAACGGCGGTTCCCCCGGCCTATAGCTTTATAAATGAAGCCCATTACTGTACATTGCTCTCTCACTCTTTTATTTTGGAACCCATTGTATGTTTAATGAATCTATCTATGTACAGGACAGGTTAGTGATGCGCTATCTAACTTTGCAGAATGGATCGTATTTGCCTTATGGAGAACATCTGTACGTGGAACCCTACAACAACGCAATGATGTGAGTAAAGCTGCACGTTCCAGTGGTCAGTCCAATTTCTGTAACGAGATCTCTTTATCCGGACGTATTGAAAAGGGGAACTTAAAGGAGAACTATGGGGTCACGGCTTTCCCCCATAGTTCTCCTAAGGGTCACGGGAGAACATATACTAGCGTCCTCCTGTGACCCAAAGCTCAGTATATAGGGAGCTACAGGTCGCGGTATACTGAGACCGCCGCAGCCGGGACAGATCCCGACATTCCTGTCGAAACCCACCCGGCTGCCTGAGTGACAATGAGACTGTCACAGGTCGGCTCAGTAGATCGGGAGGTGAGCGAACACATACCGGCGCTCGCTCACTTCTCGATCCTGTCACTGCAGAGAGCCGTGACCGGGGAGGGACTGGATTCCCCGCTCCGATCCTCCAGCGCTGACTGGCGGAACGGACGGGGGAGGGGGCGGGTACAGCTGGCTTTGCCTCTAGATAGGCAGAGCCAGCTGTCACTCACGCAGCTGGGCGGATCCAGACATAATTGTCGGGATTCGCTCCGGCTGCGGCGTCTCAGTATACCGCGAGCTGTAGCTCCCTATATACTGAGCCTAGGGTGACGGGAGGACGCTAGTTTGTGTCCTCCCGTTACCCTAAGGAGAACTATGGGGAAAAGACTTAACCCCATAGTTTTCCTTTAAGATACAAGCAATCAGCCGGGTCTCCCCGGAGAGAGATCAGCTGGCTTCCAGATCACTGGACCCGGAAGTGACGTGCATCGCATCACTTCCGGTGCCACTGGGCACATTCTCCGGCTCTTAGAGCCAGGGGGAAGAGGCTTGGAAAGCAGATCTCTAACCCCATAGTTCTCCTTTAACTTTTGATGCCAAACACCACTGTTCTAGACAATGAAAAACAATGGAATCCAGAGAGCAGCTCAATGAACACTGGAAGCATTGTGAAGCATTTTGCAGGTTTTGAAAACACTGGTTGAATGCGGCCGCATGAACAAGTGCCTCGCATTTATTTCCTGTGTTCCTCAGCTCCCTCTGGTGGCCGAAATGCAGCATTACATGACATACTTTTGACCTGAAAATAAAATATATCAAAGAACGTTCGTTTAAGTGTAGAGGTGCACCGAAACGAAACCGAAATTTAAAAAAAATGTCAGGAAACCGAAACCGGAATTTTTATTTTATTTTAACTTTTTCAATTGTGCGATTATTATATACACTGAGTGGCCGGATTATTATATACACCGAGTGGCCGGATTATTATATACACCGATTCGGTGTATATAATAATCCGGCCACTCGGTGTATATAATAATCCGGCCACTCGGTGTATATAATAATCCGGCCACTCGGTGTATATAATAATCCGGCCACTCGGTGTATATAATAATCCGGCCACTCGGTGTATATAATAATCCGGCCACTCAGTGTATATGTTCATCGGACTTTTTCCTCGATCATTACAAATGTCACTCATTGCTTAGCTGATGATAAACAATATTATGAATATTCCTGGCTTAGTAGTTGTTGGAATGTTCCATAATTCAGTGTCATGTATTGGGGGTCCCGCGTCCTCTCTCCCTTCATCCTCATCCTTTCTCTTCTCTGATCAGGTGGACGTCTTCAGATTCAAAGGATTCTCGCCATGCGTATCAGAATGTAGAACACATCAGCAGACTAGACAGTGACCTGATTTCTGAGGAAGATACGGATTGTTCTATCATTTGTGACCTGAAAGAAGACTATCCAACCGCCACCGTCGTCGATGGTTATAAGCCTTTTACGGACGTGGCGGATGAACAAGAAAGCGAAGACATTAAGGACCCGCAGTTCGTGTTTTCTGCCTTTGATGGACCTTATCTGTTCTCTGAAAGTAACTTATCGTGATATTGGCTCTTCAATTATTATTATTACATGTTAACTCTGTGAAGTTATGAGAATTTCTATATTGTTCTTCTATTTAAATAAATCCGGAGAAACACCGAATGAGAAGTTTCAAAAAAAAATGTTAATTAAAAAGGAGGGTCTATAAATGACAAAAAAAAGACATTTGATGAGACATGGAAGCTACGTCAAAATTTGGTTCGGTTCGGATATTTCGGGATTCGGATCCGAAATTCTATTCGGGCGACGAAATCCGAATTTTCCTTTAGTTTCGGATGAGTTTACAAATACTCCTGGCAAATACCACAGAAAATTTATATACAGATATTAATATTAAAGCCGAGGCTCCCAGACCCGAATGGCATTCTGGATTCAAATTTCCAAATACCATTCGGGAGCTCCAAAAAAGCAATACGGGTCTGGGAGCCATATTAAAGCCGAGGCTCCCAGACCCGAATGGCATTCTGGATTCAAATTTCCAAATACCATTCGGGAGCTCCGGAAAGCAATACGGGTCTGGGAGCCATATTGAAGCCGAGGCTCCCGGACCCGAATGGCGTTCAGCAACTCTCAAATGCTATTCTGAAATTCGGACTCCATTCTGGTCTTGGAGCCTCAGTTTTAGTATTATAAATATATAATTAGCATTCTATAATACGAACGAACATTTGTAGCAGCAACATTGAGACCCGAATATACATAAAACTAAACCTGAGGCTCCCAGAGCCGAATGGCATTCGAAAATTCGGATTCAGGTGCATTAAACCGAAAAACACATCTGATTGGCCAGGAAAGTCACATGTCCGATTTCAGTTTCTTTATCGAACGAAATTCGCACGGGACCCGAAATTCGGAAACGGAAATTCGGACGCATTGGGATTCCGGAATTCGGATGTGTGCGTATGTTCGAATTTTGGAAAATTTGTACGAATTTTGATTCGGAACTAAACGAATCGCGCGCGCCTACATTTGATCAGAGACTTAGGCGCACAACGACGAGCACACTGATTAATAACGGCATGGTAAGGACTACAACCCAAATAATCATTGGATGACATGGGCTGGGCCAAACCTTACCAAAGGCCAGTTACATATCCTGCTCCAGTGAGGACCATTGGGCCGAAGTCAAAGGGGGTGATTTACTAACCTAAACACACGCACGCACCAGGTGCGTCTGATTTTCACACGGCAAAACTTATTTATCAACCAAAAAGTCTCTAAAAGCATATTTCCACTAATGCCATATATGGGAAAATCATGCACATGATGCATATATAATGCTGCTTCACAGTTTAGACAAAAATGGTTAGCTCATGCATTTACATTCCTGCATTCATCAACGCAAGCAACAGAATGTAGAGCTAATTTACACAACATCACCTTGCAATTCATGCACAACACACCTGCTGGGTGTGTACACACTACAAAGGTGTTTAGATTCCACCCATAGATCATGCTGGGAGGGAACACACTACAGAGGTGTATACTTGTTCATGGTGTGTTTATAAGGTTAGTAAATCAACCGCAAAGACTTCCACCGTTGACGGTTCTCGGCCTTTGATTTGACCTGCGGACAGGTCAGGTTCTCGTCGATAACCCTTGATATCATCACATGGGCGCTGAACAAAGCCTGGCCAAAATTAGAAATCATGAACTTGTCCTCCTAAAGAGCGCTGTCCATTTAACTGCTTACGGCAAGACGAAGGCCAAATAGGGCCCAAGGCAAGGTAGCTGCTTTGTACAGAGCAGCTCTAGTATAGCGTGAAGAAGCATATGTAACACACAGCAAGGTGGACACAGTAGAAAGGTATATATATATATCTAATATATCGGGACTAGTTGGGTCTCGGGGTTACATAGTTACATAGTTACATAGTATTTGAGGTTGA